TAATGCACTTTATATAATTCATGTTAAATCTAATACCTCCAGGCACCTATACACATGCCAGATGTCTGTTCCGATGAATGTTAAGTAGCATGCATTGGAGAAGACTTGATTAATCAAGTCTGCTGGAGCGTGATAATTAGCATGCTCCAGCTACTTCCTCATCGTATGTATTCAGCATCCCTACGCCTCAACATGGCAGTGGAGGCACTTTAGTTAAAGTTTCTTGAATGAACTTTAGTTAAAGCACAACTGCCACCATTTTGAAATGCTGGATGCTGAATACACATGATGCTGGAGGTGTTTTAATTAGAGCCGCTCTGAGAGGACTCTCAGAGCTGCTGTAATTAAAGTGCTCCACCCTACGGCCTGTTTCAAGTCTCCCTCCATTGTGAGGTACTGGAAAAATGTGTATTGGCCTATTTTAATGTGCATTAGGTAAACAGCATGTTTTTTTGATGCTTTAATGCACATTAAAACTAGGCTAATGTGCATTAAAGCACAGATGTAGACATGCCTAGATTCGTTATCTTTTGTTCTTTCCAGAAATGGAATTACATGGCCCAGCTGCCATGTAAGCACTAAGGATCAGTGTTAACCCCAAAGTTGCTTAGGCACTTCCTTTCCCAGAGCTCCAACCTTGTGGAATCTTGGTGTTACCTTTCATTTTCAGAGACAAGCAAATAGACACATACAATTCTACTTATTAGGTGTGTTAGTGGACTTAGGTGCCTAATACGTCACCCTGTTCCATCCTGCTTGATCAAGTCAAGGTCATGGAAAAACTTTTAATACAAAGGGTGAGTGGGTCCTCTTCTTCCTTGCTGCTTGTTTGTAATTAATTTTTAGGGATAAGATGATGCATTAATGGATTTTCAGGGTTTTGAATCTTATTTAGGCACCTAAGTCTGCTTAGACCCAAGAGGTCTAGGTAACCAATCTTTGTCAAGGTTCCTAAACACAATTACTGTTTACTTTAGCTAACACTAGTATACAGAGTTACATGTAATAAGCACATATGTATTTTCCCTGTCTCTGTTTCATCACTCTAAAGTTTTATTTGGTTGTAGATCAGAGTCCACTAAAAATAAATAAATAAAAAAAAAATCAGTATTATGGAGTCAGTTGGTTTGTCTCTTAATTCTGCAGTTGGTGCACTTCCACTTTCCCACCCAATCTTTCTTCAATGTGAGTCACTTTCTTTACAGTATCTAGAACCCTTTCTTAGGTGCCCACACTCTCCTTTTTCCTCCAATAAGCTCTGCAAGCAAGGGGGTTGCTTGGCTTCCAGCCAAGTAGTCAGAACCTGGTTTGACATCCTCTCACCCCTATTGTATGGCTGAGAGATCTATTCAGATGTCAAAACATCTTGGTAGTCTACTCACCCAACCAAGATTTAGCTGAAACACACTTGTCCATTGATCACCTATTCCTTAGCCTCACTGGGAGTTTCTGGAAGAAGTAGATAGCCCTTTGAGGCTGCTTAACAACCGACACATGATTAAAAATGTTACCTGAATCGCATATAATATTTAATTGAACTAATGCAGGAATATTGGTTTCTGTGGGCAGAATGATAAGATGGAACTTGACTCTTCATGAAATTGAAGAGCGAAGAAAAGATGACGTTATTAAGCACATAACTGTGTGTATAACAGTCCGGAAATATTAAAGCTGTTATACAAACTGCTCAAGTGCTATAAAGTATAAGTAATTTTAGTTCAGAAAGTAATTATTAGTTTGCCTGATATTTCCTGAGACCTTGCAAGGAAAGTAATAAGGTGGCATTTGTTGTTGAGTATAGCAGGAACATACCAGGAGCTTTGGAGTGACAGGGAGTTTGGTCTACTTTTTTACATGTTCTAATCCAGAAATGGCTAAGGGAAAATGGAGGGTTAGTTAGCGCTTGAGAGAAGTGTTTGAACATATGGTAGTGAGTATTTGGAATAATACCTTAACTGATACTATCTATGGTTTCCCTGAGATGAGCATTTAAGTGGGCTCTTTTTATAATGACGGATTAATTCATATAACTTAAAATAAGATATCGTTAGGAATCAGAGAGATTGCAATAGGGAAATAAGAATCCCAATTCTTAAATATTTGTTCCATTACAAATCAGGAACCATAATGCACAAAGGCTTATATGCTGGAACGAAGTAAATGCAATTATTATAAGGCACCTAACAGAAAATTGTTGAGGATTTATAGTCATATTCTACTCCAAATGTTAACAGTTTTTGAATATGACACTTCCACAAAAGAGTGGCTTCTCATGCATATTTTGAATTACATTTGCTTACTTTACTGACTAAAATAAGTATTTCCTACTCTTTACATTTGATCATTTTTGAGTCGATACAAGCATAGGCAACTACTCCAGCTTGTAATACTAGTAGGCTTGTTAAGCAAGTTCAAATTAAGGACTATAAGTAGTACTGATCTATGAGCCAAGGAAAGAAAAAAGAACTGTACTTTCAGATTAAAAAACTTTTACTTCTAAGCGGAACAGATTTTATCTGGAAGACTTTGGGAGGCAATAGAGGTATGGAACACCCCAAAGCCAATTTTTGAGTTACTTCTTATGCTCAGTAAACATTTTAAAGCAACTGGTGTCAAGGAAGTGTTCTGTAAACCAGTTACACTGTAAAATTCAAGGGGGAAAAATTGTGTCTGCAAATACAATATTGTATTTTGACATGGTCTTTAAAGTAAGTGTAAACAGTACTCCATTTTCCCTGTATTCTGTATCTGCCTCCTACACATAGCAAAAGCATGCTTCCAATAGTAACAAAAAAGAAAGAAAAATGCAGGCATTATTATTAGTTTTGGGGGTCATGTATTAAGAGATTATTTAAAAACAGTACAGAGACTTGGTGATATTTTAACCTGACAAGATAACATGCTTCTCATTTTTGCTATGTTGTTGGCACTAACCTTTTTGGCTGGCATTATTGCCATAGAAACTTCTAATTAGGGTGGGCTGGCACTGGCATGTGCAATTTGCAAGGTGCTGTTGCCAGGCAAGAGGACAGAGCACACCACATCACTGGGAACAATGGGCTTGATTCTCTTCTCCCCGTGGACAATGTCAATCAGAAATTAACTCACTTTCAGTCAGCTGTATACAACGGTCTAAGTAAATAAAAAATGAGACCCACCATCTCCAAATCTCATGGTGAAAGTTTCTCCCCTACAAGCAGTAAAGGGCTAGATTGGCTTTTCTGTTCTAGCAATATGAATTACGAGGCATGCAATGAATATTGCCCTGACTTACATTTTAGTGAGAATGTGGTTCAGTTTGTAAAGATGAAAAACACAGTAAATATTCAGCACCTGCTAAAAAACGATACTGGTAAGTTCAGAAACTTGTCAAAAAAGTTGGATATTTAGACTTAGGAATGGTGTTTTTTGAAAGATCCAGTAACCAAAAAGGTTGTGATAGCAATAAACAAAATGGATCAGCCTAATCAAAGAGTGTGAAATGTTTAACATCCTTGCCAGAGCACTTTTATATCACTGTGTTAATTGCCTGCTTCAGACCATATTCAATCCTCTTTATCCAGGCAGATATCCTAGTACTCACTATTGCTACACTCCTGTACTTCAAGATTAACTGCAGAATTTTATAGGCTGCATCCTGCTGCCATTTATGCCTATAACATGCCATTAATTGCAACACAGTTGGGTAAGTATAAAAAAAAAAGCATAATTGATTTCTTGTACATATTATGATCCAAATGATGATTTATACAGGTGCACTGAAGGCACCAGTGGATTTGTTCATTGTTGCATTAAATTACCAGAAGATGTCTTGGTAAACTAAATAACACAAATTTTATAAAGACTAATATATTCAGTGTTGGAATACACTGCAAATGCGTTGTTAAAATGTTTAAAGAGGTTCAGATTAAGGAACCAATAGTGGTTTTAATCTAGAAAATGAAAATGGGGGGCTGG